CAAAGCAGGCCTTCGAGAACTAAGCAGCACCCTGCGTGGAAAGCATTTCGTTGTCATGTTGCTCATTGTTTTCTAGTGCCGCCTCCCCCACACTTACATTGGCCATTCAAGCAAACATAGTTGGTAGCGGGCGGGGGCGGCTGGTAGTGGTAGTAGTAGCAGTAGTAACAGTAGCAGTAGTAGTAGGAGTAGCAGCAGTAGTAGTAGTAGTAGTAGTATTAGTAGTAGTAGTAGTAGCAGCAGCAGCAGCAGAAGTAGCAGTAGCAGTAGCAGTAGCAGCAGCAGCAGTAGCAGTAGCAGTAGTAGTAGTAGTAGTAGTAGGAGTAGTAGTAGTAGCAGCAGCAGTAGCGGTAGCGGTAGTGGTAGTGGTAGTCGTAATAGCAGCGGCAGCAGCAGCAGTAGTAGCAATTAGTCGTAGTAGTAGTCGTCGTTGTTGTCGAGGTCCAACGTCGCCTATTTGACACTGCCGTTTTGGAAGGTATAGCCTGGAAATAGAGGGCTTTGGATTGTGGCTAGCGCAGTACTTTGAGCAGCTTTTGGAAAATGTGGACAGTTTGCAGCAGTGTCGGGGGAGGGTCGTGGGTTTCTTCTGAGCCTTGCTACTTCTGCTCGAGAACGCCAGCTCCATGAGGGCTACCATCAGGAGGAGAGAAAGGGCCATGCGATGCAGCGCATGTTGGAGGAGGGCATGCTCTCAATACACAAATACCTGTGATAAGGCGGTGCTTGAGCCAAACTGGCAGCTCTCTCTCTCTCTCTCTCGCTTGCATGCCTCCTTCTTGCATGAGAGAGGCTCAGATTCTTTGAAGGAAACGGGCACCAATCGAGGCACAGCCCAGGTCTCTCGGAAGAGCAGTCGGTGCAGTAAGACCAGATCCTGCAAATGCATTGCCCGGATGTAGCACATGAGCGTCTCACTGCTGCCCGATCCCAGAATTGCTCATATGAGCTATAGTCTGAACTCCTAGTATCGCCCCTATAATAGTCCCCTATACAGCCGGCCTTGAAAGAGTTTCGACTCTAGCTCATATTACTTGTAACAACTGTTTGGATCTGGATTGCGTAGTCCTTGACAGATCTCGTCATCAGGCCCAGTGTCGCAGGAGTGAAATACTCTCCGGGCCGAGTGAATTCAATCTCAGTAGGCAAGGCTCTCTGTCGCTACTCACTGGCAGAACCTATACAACCCCCATATAATATGACCCTACATATCCCCATAAGAGGACCCCTAAATGACCTCCATATAACCCCTTTCGGAACCCCACATTAATGACCCCCATATAACCCCTATAGGACCTCCATAGAACCCCCTATATCAGGCAGCAAGCCTGAGACCTACAGCATGAAAGCAAAAATCAGGGGTTTACCAAAATTGGGTGTGCCCTTTTTGGGGGGGTCCCTACAATAAGGACTATAATATGTGGGTTCTATATTGGGGTCTCCGTATTTTGGGAAACTACTAAATGGCTGCCACCCAAGCTTCGGAAATTCGACCAACAGTTGGCTTCAATGAAGCGATTCCGCAGTAGGCAGCCGGTATGCGCACAGAACCCCCCACATCAGAACCTTGGCTGCACCAGGCTTCGAGCGACTCACCCTGGAGCACTCTCATGATCCCAGGCACCAATTCCAAACGGGGAGGCGCCGGCACCAACCCTTGGTTGCTGCTAAGGAGCTTAACTTAAGTTACCACAAAGGGTACAGATATTTCCGTAATATAGTAACTTAAATCAAGGTCCTTAAGAGCAACCCAGAATCCTTGGCCCAAGATTCGAGTCCCATGCGTTCTACTTGTTCAGTCTGCTGCACTTTTGGCCGAGTCTCAGGGCACCCTCCCCACAGCTGCTGCCCCCCGAGGTACGACGAGTGTCCCAGGGATTGAGTGTGTCACCGTGGGCCGGGCTCCCGCCACCGATTCTCAGCTGGAGCAGAAATGGAGAGCAGGGGGCAGTCCTAAACACTCTTGAGGCCAAGGTGCGACATCCCAAGTTGTACCATTGTCGATTTTGCAAAGGGTATGGCGCCCAAGGCCTGGTTGCTATTTCTTTCTGGTGAGACAACTGATGCAATCCAAGTCTGGAGGTCCCAGTGGCGCGCAACACAACAACCAAGTTGTCGTCATTCTTGGTGGTCAAGCCATGCCTTTGCGCTGACGTCGTTTGAAGAAAGCATGGACTCAGCCTTATGCATCTGTTGGCCTCTGAAGAGTCCGCATGCCCAGCGTTATAGGTGTGCCAGCAACTGCGACATGATCCTGCCAAGAGAAGGGCAACATACTCTCACAAGCCATGGCATGCAGTCAAACACAAGGTACCTGGCCTTCACTGTGAAGGGGATCCCATGCAAAGGACCAAGAACAGCACCAGTACGCTGGAGGTGCTCATCAGCCTGCTGTCATCTCGGAACACTGCGTGCAATGACTGCACTCATGTCCAAGATGCAGCGCGAAAATGAAAGAGAGACTTCCAACATGTAAAGTAGTGGCTGCAGCATGGGTGCAACTAGCCTTGCGTGCTTCCTGCTCTGCGGTCGGAAGCCAGAAAGCCACCGCGTTGCATGCTTGATGGACTGCTTCCTGCAGAGCCAATTTCGGCCAGCTTTAAGTGAGGCCCCTGGACAAGGATGATACCCCAATAGTGGAGAATCAAATGGAAAAGAAAGATGGAACATGACATGGAAACTACTATAATGGGTTATATAGGGTTTAGGGATATTACCCCAATAATGGAGAATCAAATGGACAAGAAAATGGAACATGAAATGGAAACTGGGGATATGTTGCGACATTGCTCTTGGATGGTGCCGTCTGGGGGGAGGCGAGTCGATTTGCGAGCGAGGCGCTGCTCGCGCCCGGTATGCATGCAGTACAGATTGCGCAGAAAAGCGCCGGTCTCGAATTGCCGCGGCAAGCTCCTCAATGTCGAGTGCCAGGATCGACTCCATCTCAACACCTTTTTTGCTGCGCACAGGTTGGGTGCGAGCACAAATCGTCTGTCAGCTAAAAAAAAGCAACTTCATGGTAGTTCCCCAAAATAAGGGGACCCCAATATACTCCCCAAAATGCTATAATCCTTATTATAGAGAAACCCAAAAAGGGTACCCCTAATTTTGGGAACCCCCTTATTCCAGGCCAGCGAGCTCGAACAGTTGGCAAGCAGGTGCGGCCAGAGCCATTCGGCAAAGTTGCTGCTTTTGTGGCTTTTCTTGTGTGCTTGGGCTAGGAATGAAGAAAAGATGGTGATGATGGCTCGTGTCTACATCTTCTGATTCTGTGTCCGCAATGCACTACACTAAGAATCAAGAAGATGCACCTGTACTCTGTGGGCTGATGTGGGGCGAAGCAGATATTGGGGCCAGTTCACAGCTGAAACCCACAAGCTTGCGGCAAGGAGTTTGCAGGCTAGCATTATAGTCAGCAACGCGCAAGCACGATGACGTCCACAAAAACCGTGGCCCCAGCTTCCTTTTCTTTTCGCAGCTGCTCCTCCTCAACATGAAGAGGGCTGCGCACCTCCAACACAAGCATCTCGATTTGTCCGGCTACCCCTTGATGGTGTTCTCACGTCTCGAGTGATCTTGCAGTTCCCACCTCTTCCTCTTTCGCGCCTTCTTCGTCGGCCATGAGCCAGATCAGCCAGAGCGCCGGTCATGGGCTCTGGCACCACACGGGGCATCACAAACCGGACAACCTCTAACTCTGTAGCTTGCACGTGCTTCAAAGTTCACTTTGGGATGCTTGCGCCTTGACTTGTGACTTTTTACGTGTGATACGCAGGTCCGTCCCTTGATCTACGCTTCATTTGCTGCCGGCAGAAGCGCTGGCAACGAGCAGTGCTGTTTAGCAACTTCTCAGCTCCAACCCGACAGGGGTTATAGGGGCTATATAGGGGTTATATAGGGATTCCAGGGGCTGTGTAGGGGTTGTATTTGGATTATAGGGTATATATTGGGGTTATTATAGGGATAATGGAAAAGAAAATGGAAACTACAGGGATTATAGGGGTTCGGGTCGCACCGTCTGGCAGCTCCACTGTGTAGCGTCCCGTGGCCGAGCTGAAGCAACGCACGAGGCCCTGCTGGCCGTTCAGCGCTGCTGCCCCGGGAGACTGCAGGCCCTGCAGAAGCACCTGACAAAACTGCCACTTCAAAACTGATATGATAGGCAATGACGGCATCAATCTCTATCTGACCATAATCGCGCCTGCACACCTGGTGAAAATCCTCCAACACCAGCGTCCGAGGTGCAGGGTGGCCCCTCCTTAGCAAATTAAAGCTACAACGATCACAGAGCGGCAAGCTTAGCAAGTAGATGCTCTCGTGCGGCTGCCAACCAACACTTCTAAGGTGCTCGCAGATTTCGCTGTAGGAAGGAAGACATGCTCTTTCTTCACCTGCTGGCACCAAAAATGAACCACAGTCTAAACTCCTGGTATCCCCCTTAATAAGCCCTATACTAGTCCCATATATAATCCCTATAAAACTTTAGACTATAGCTCAAATAAAGCACTTAGGTGGCATGGCACAGCTCAGCAGAAGGATGACTGCTCAACATCCAAGAGCATGAGAATCCAGTAAGACTGCGCCCCACCACAGGGGCATACGAAGTCTGCTGGCAACTGCGTCTCCCTTCAGTCTCCCAACCTCGAATAGTAGTTTCCATTCTATTTTCCATTATCCCTATATACACGTAACCACATATAGTACTACAATGTAATAGTAGTACATAATATATACATATATATGAATATTCCATTATCCCTATATAACCCAATATAATCCCTTTACCTGGTAAGCTGGAGACTTCCGAAGCTGGCCTTTCGGAACTGACCGGAGGTGGTCATTCGAAGGACGTACCTGAGGAGCGGCACCATGTCCAAGGCATGAGCTGATATGAGTAGTATTTTATTTGGGGGTATTATGGTACCCAATATAGGGTTTATGGCCCTAATAATGGAGAATCAAATTGAAAAGAACATGGAAAATGAAATGGAAACTGGGATTATATAGGGGTTATTTGAGTAGTATGTTATTTGGGGATATTATGGTACCCAATATAGAGTAAGCTCATACCCTCCTTTTGGGTATAGAATTTTATGTAAGGAATATTATCTTACTAGGTTTAACCACCAAAAAAACGCTACTCATATAGGGATAATGGAAAAGAAAATGGAAGCTACAGGGATTATACGGGCTAAATAGGGGTTATATAAGGGTTATACAAGGATTTTAGCGTATATATTGGGGTTTATTAATAGGGATAACGGAAAAGACAATGGAGACTACTATTATGGGTTATATAGGGATTCTATAGGGGTACTGGCAAAGAAAACGGAGACTACTATTTAGGGGTATAGGGTGGTACCATAAGGAAAATAGAAAGAAAAATGGAAACTACTGTTTACTGTTATGTAGGGATTCTATAGGGATACTGGAAAAGAAAACGGAGACTGCTATTTAGGGTTATAGGGGGATAGTATAGGGATAATAAAAAGGAAAATGGAAACTACTGTTTACTGTTATGTAGGGATCCTATAGGGATACTGGAAAAGAAAATGGAGACTACTATTTAGGGTTATATGGGGATACTATAGGGATAATACAAAGGAAAATGGAAACTACTGTTTACTGTTATGTAGGGATTCTATAGGGATACTGGAAAAGAAAATGGAAACTGCTATTTAAGGGTTTGGCGATATCATCCCCCCACAATGGAGAATCAAATGGAAAAGAACATGGAACATGAAATGGAAACCCTTAGGCCCCAAAACATAATAGTAATCTTAAATTGTAATATTAATTGTAATACAACTTGCAATAATACTAATAATAGTAGGAATAACAGTGATAATACTAAGAAGAGTAGTAATACTTGCAATGATAATAGTGAGAATGATAGTAACAATAATGGAAAATAACATGGAAACCCTAAGGCCCAAAAACATAATACCAATAACAATACTAATAACAATGGGAACAATAATAGTAACAGTAATAGTAATAATGATAGTAACAATAATGGAAAAACATGGAAACTACCAGGGTGACAAGCGAAACGTGCGGCCTGTCAGAATCCTTGTCGTATCCTTCCACAACACCCTCCAAGCCGTTGAGCTCAACCTCACCATCAGAAATACAGTATCAGTTGGGTCAATCCCCCACCCAGTAATGGGTACCACAAGGGACTATTGTAGGTATATTAAGGCCTTATTGAGTCCATATTAAGGAGCTATTACTAGAGGGGGGATTGACCTAAAGTATCAGCACTGACCTTCGGACAGCTCTGACAAATTTATTTCTTTTTGCGGTCCCTGCTGCTGATCGAGTGAGGCCATTCACAACAACATGTCTGCCTGCTACGGCACGTCAGAGTCCATTTAATCTAAGGACTGTAGGAGGGACCCCTAATAGGGACNNNNAGGGGTTATATAATGACTATATAAGGGTTATATATGGTAATGGGATTAAGGGTCCCCATTAGGGGTCCCTCCTAAAGTCCCTAGATTTAAGCACTTGCCAACGAGCGCGAGAAAAGCAAGCCTTTCCCAAGCTCCGGCAAAGAAAGGCCTTGCGAACAGCGCGCTGACAGCTTCTGCGCGCGCGCTTGGAAGCAAAGCGGTTAGGGTTTAGGGTTTAGGGTTTCTGAGAAGACGGCTGGCACGATGTCGCAAGTGCCGCAGCCCCTGATGGGCTGCGCTTGCATGTGCAAATGAAAGAACCAACACACCTCAGCTTAGCTTACCAACCATCAATAGCTCGGCCACTCCAATCCAACTGAAAATAGATACCACTATAGTGGGGTTATATAGGGATAATGGCAAAATTGGGGTCATGTAGGGATAATGGTAATATTGGGGTTATACAGGGAGACTGGTAATACGGGGGTTATGTAGGGATAATGGTAATACTGGGGTTAGATAGGGATAATGGTAATATTGGGCTATTATGATAGGGCAATACCAGGAGTATCAAAAATCACTCTAAACCCTAAACCCTAAAGGATCCAAAAAATGGAACCCCTTAATAATCCCTTAGGTTCCCCAATGTAGTAATGAAGCCATTTTTGGATCCTTTAGGGGGTCTGGGTCTGAGCTTAGGCCGATGCCGAGCCAGCGCGGCCCGGTGAGGGAAAGCCTGCCGGCTGCAGTTAGGACTTTTAGGGTTTAGGAAGGACTGCTTCACTGGCTAGTGGGTACCTTAAAAAGGGGGATAAAGGGGGTTCTGAAAGAAAATGGAAACTACTATTTAGGGTTTAGGGTTTAAGGTTTTCCAAAATTAGGGGTACCATTTTGGGGGTCCTTTTCACAAGGATTATAATATTCAGAGGTCTATATTGGGGTCCCCTTATTTTGGGAAACTACCATGTCTTGTTTTATCTGCAAGAACTGGAGCATATTGGAAAGCGTTGCGCGGAGGAAGCCATCCCGACTTTCTCTTCCGAACCGTAGCTGTGCAAACCAGGGCGCCGATGGAATCCGGGTCCCCTCTCTAGTGTGCATTTGAGAACTGACCAATATCATCACCAACTACGAACATCAAGGAGGAGAAAAGTCGTAAGTGAGACTACGACTGAAGATTGGGCGCGCGGCGGCTTAGCCAGGGCGCGTCTTTTCTATCTTGAAGTGACTAGAAACTGCACCCCAAGATTGCATTATAAGACTTTGAGCTAGAAACCAAGCCTCGCAGACCTAGGAAGGCATGGAACCTCACAAGAAACATTGGGTGGGAGTTCTGCATCAGCCAACCCAATATTGGAGCCCAATGCTTGGAGGTTGCGGGTTTAGTTCCACACCCAAAGAACGTCTCGCAGCTATGCTGACGTGTATAACCCTTATGTAACCCTATACAAACCCCATAATCTAACCCCTATATAACCCTAAAGAACCCTTCTATGACCCCTCTAGAATTTAACCCCTGAATAACCCCTCTAGAGCAAGCATAAGCTA